GCACCACCACGACCGCAGAGCCGTCGGGACGGGTCAGGGCCACGGCGTCCAAGCCGTTCTTCTCGCTGGCCAGCAGCCCCACTCTCCGGGAGCCCTCCGGAATGAACTTGCTGAGGTGGGAACAGGCGCGGTCAGGCCGGGGCCCGCTCCCTTCTCACTCAGCTGAGAAGTCACTGTCCCCCTGGCCACCCCCAGGGCCCCGGCCAAAGCTGCGCCCTCACTTCCCATCCCCAGCGTCCGCTGACGCACCTGCTCACTTCCTGCCGGGGGGTGGGGGGCCACGGTGCCTCCCCCCGGTGCCCACCCCCCAGGGGGCGCTGTAGGCCCATGCACGAGATGCCAGGCCTGGTGTGGGCCAGGGGGCCCACCCTCCACTCACCTGAAGTGGCCGAGGTGATAGAACATGGGCTGCTTGTAAAACGTGTCTTTGGTGATGTCGACGATGATGGGGCTGTCCACGAAGTTGCGCACCCAGTTGGGCCCCCCTTCCAGGTTCAGGGCGAGGTTCCAGTCGGTCCAGCCAGCCACATGGTAGAGGAGATTCTGCGGTGGGAGCAGAGCGGAAACAAAGGCTCCACACAGGGTCCCCAGACAATGTCGTTACGGGTTGTGTGAGGAAGACAGGTGACAGGGGTGCCCCGCCCCGTGATGGGTGCTCTATACCCTCAGTACGGGGCGGAGGTGGGGGCGGGGTGGTGAGGATGGAAGCATCGGAAGAGAAGCTGAGAAACTGAGGCAGGTGGGGTGTGCCCGTCTGGGAGGGAAGGCGTGATAGGGAATCGCGAGGTCCCAGAACTTGCCCCACAGAGCAAGTCAGCAGGGGACGGTTGGCGAAGAGGCCTTCCCTTGCTGAGACCAAGAGGGCCTGCGGTGGTGTGCCCGGCGGGGGGCTGGGGGCTCACCGTGATGATGCTGTGGCTGTACTGGACCCCTCGGTCCCAGGAGCCCAGGCGTACACTCTGCTCCCAGAACTTGGAGCCCACGCAGGCCTCGGAGGCGAAGAGCATGGTGTTGGGGAACAGGCGGTGTGTCTCCCCCAGGGTGGCTTTGGCTGGAGCCAGGAAGTCCAGGTACCAGTGTACGGCAATGCCACAGACGTACTTAGCTGCATCCGGGTCCGCCAGCACCTTTACCGGGAAGGGCAGAGAGGGGACAGGGGCCACTGAACCTGGGCCCTGCACAGAAGGTTCTGGAAGTAGCACCAGGCCCTGAGAAATGGGCAGTGCGCTGCAGGCAACTAGAGGGGCTTCAGGTGACAACCCTGGGGACCCCTGGGGCCCTGGAGATCCAGAGGAGGTCAGCACCCCAGGGGAGCCACCTGGGCACCTGGCTCTAGGCCAGGGAATTCTGGGAACCAAGAGTTGGGGCAGGGAAGCCACTCTGGGCGCCAGCCACCTGGATGCCAGATTTGGGGGTCACCGGGATACTCCTGGAGGCCCTGGCCTTACCACCTGGGCCCAGTGAGGCAGCAGCAAGCGCTGGTCATCCAGGATGAGCAGACAGATGTCGTGGTGCATACTGTTGGCAAGGGCAGGACCCAGGTCCCGGGCGATGAAGTCTCGCTGGTGTTCGGGGGTGAAGCCCAGGCACTGGAAGGGGTACCCACTGAGCAGCCCTGCAGAGGGCTCGTTCTCCGCCGTCACTGCCCAGAACCGTAAGTTGTGCTCTGCATAGGCATCCAGGAACCTGGCAGGGCAAAGGGTGTGAGCGAGCCCGGCCAAGAAAAGGGACCAAGACCCTGGGGGAACAGGAGGCCCATCAAGGGGGGGAAAACTGACAGGCCAAGTCTGAAAGGCCCAGAAGGTAGAAAGGTGGTCTGAGGAGTCCAGTCTGGGGGTGGCCAAGGTCCAGGGGTGGGGCAGAGACGAGGGTGTCCAAGAGGGGAGCTGGTCCAGACCCCATGGCCTTGCAGCTCCCTTACTTCACAAAGTATCTGGCCCAGGTCTGGTGGTAGAGATCCCCGGGCCGACCCTTGAGTGACCCCTTCCCATTCACGGCCCCGTTGGTCTTCATCCACGTGGGTGATGTCCAGGGACTGGCGAACAGCGACACGGGGCGCCGGGCCAGCTCCAGGGCTTGGTGAATCAGGGGTATCTGGAGACCGTGCAGGTGAGGAGAGAGATTCCCAGAGCTGGAATACGGACAGACTGGCCCGACCAGTGCATCAGGCCTAGCCGTCGGCCCCCGCCCTGCGCCCCCCCACCCCAGAACACAACAGAGCCGGGGGCAGGTTCCGCGTCTCTCCGCAGACTGCTCCGGCCTGAGCCTTCTCAGCCGGCAGGCAATGACTCCGCCAGGCCGAGTGCCCACCTTGAGCTTGACGTCCTCCTCAGGGAGGCTGAAGCCGCGTAACTCAAAGTCGTCAGGGGTATCATCGTACGTGTAGGTGCGGACGGAGAAGTCACAGCTGGCCATGGGGACCCGGATGATGTTGTACTCGATTCCTGCAGGAAGGGAAGGCCAAGACAGGAGGGTCTGGGTCAGCAGGAGAGTGTGGGACCTGGCCTGCCCCCTGCCAGTCCTAAATGATGTCCAAGGCAAGCCAAAGGGAGCCTGGGCTCCGGGGCTGGGGCCTGCAGAGCCAGGCTTTCTGAGCCTCAGCATCCCTACGCGCTCAGTGAGAGGTAGGCGGGACACTCTTACTTCACCGGGCATTGAGAGAGGACCCAAATGTCAGGGATGCGTGGAAGTCATGGTCAGCGGAAAGGTCGGGGTGCCAGTCACACTGTCATCTTGTCCCCCTTTTCCTCACCTTCTTCAGAGAAATAGGATTTGAGCAGCAAATCCCGGGCAGGGGGTGACAGGGCGAGGATGTTGAGAGCAGCCGCATCTGTCATGGCCCCTCCAAAGCCCTTCACTTTCTGGAACGTCTGGCCTGGCTGCAGGGTCAGCAGCAGCCCTGAGAACACGCACAGGGAACGAAGGGTCTCAGTGCGCAGGGAAGAAAGTCGTGGTGGTCACTGGCATGACAGCTCCGGGGGGGACCCCAGCCTGCCCTGGGGGCGGGGATGCCGTGGTCACCTGTGCCCGTGTGATTGGCCCGGATGGTCCCCAGGCTCTGCTCCATTCGGCGCCCGCTGCGCGTGCTCTCATACCGGCTGAAGGTGCCGGGGGCAGGCAGGGTCAGGGGCTCAAGAGAGTCGCAGTACGTGGCATTGCAGACACAGACCACTGAGCTGTAGCCAAAGCTTTTAGGGCTGCAGGGCCGGGCACCTGGGAGGGAAGGAGCACAAGCAGAGGCTAGGGCTACAGGACGAAGACAGAGAAGGGACACACAGGTCAGAAGGACAGACAACACGGATTTCAAAACTCCTCTCGCTGTGCCCCCATCCAAGCTTGGTCTCAGTCGCTCAGAAGGGTTTATTCCACACCCACTGGTGCTCCTGTATGCCAGAAGGGGACCAAGGACCATCAGGCAGACGGAGGCGGGGGGCTCCCTCCCCTCTCCGTGCCTCGCTTACCTGATGCCCACGATATTGCCTGAAGTAGAAGAAATCCCGGGAGGCTAGCAGCCATGATGCCTACCCTGCCCAGGGGCCGGGGACATTCCTGAGGACAGAATGACGACTGGCTAGAAGGCAAGCCCCTCTCCACGCCCGGCTGCCCTCCTGTGGGCTGGGTGCCCACAGCCTAGTCTTCCACCCTCCTTTAACAGGGCCAGAACAAGGCCCACAGACTGCTGGGTGCTGCCCACCCCAACCAGGACCCTTCTCCTCCCCTCTTCCCACCGCCTCTCCCTCCACCCCTCCCCTGCTCCATCTGCCCCTCCGTCGAAGAGCCATGATGGCCTGGGCTGGAGGAGACTGTCATTCATTGAATTCCAGGGTCCGGATGGCCAGGATTCCAGAAGCAGCGTGACAGGACCGATGGGGAGCCTGGGCCCACTCACCTCTCTGGGAGGACCTGAAAGCTCCATCACCAGGTGAGGGGACTGCAGGGTTCAAGCCTCGGAAGGATGGAGGATCCACTAAATAAAAACAGGGATGCAGGTACCGGCAGGAGCTATAGACCCCGAATTAGCCCTGCAGGTTGAATTCCGGCCGAATGGAGTGGATGGGTCATGTGATGACTATGGGCGGGTCACATGATACAGGAAGTGAGGCAACGGCAACCATACTTGTAAAGGGCGGCTCGCTTCCTCCTGGCTGTTGGCGATTGCTCATCCTGTGAAACTCTGGAAGGCGTGTGTGGATGACAACTTTTTTTTTTTTTTTAAGACTTTATTTATTTATTTGAGAGAGAGAATGAGAGAGAGAGAGCATGAGAGGGGGAGGGTCAGAGGGAGAAGCAGACTCCCCGCTGAACAGGGAGCCCGATGCGGGACTCGATCCAGGGACTCCAGGATCGTGACCTGAGCCGAAGGCAGTCGCTCAACCGA